AACACCCACTGGAATGCCTTCACGTGTCTCATCACAGAAGCATTCCTACATCTACTATAAGGATTCTTAGATATCATGAGGAGAGGAGACACACAACATCACTGGGGTAGGTTCTGCTATAATTCTAAGCTCACCCCCTGCCTTGCTACAACCTAACTCAATAACACTTAGCTATTTTATTTTAGATGCAACACCAGAATGGGCAAATCAATTTATGAGCTTTCACTAAAGGAGAGTTATCAAGTCAAGTTCATGATTAAAAAAATTTAAAAAAAAAGCAATTTTCTAACTTAAAAAAAAAATTATCTCAATTGTGTTTCCAGTGAAGGTTTCCACAGTTTAGACTCCCATTCACCCAGTTCTACATAAACTGCTCAGTGACACTGGTTACATCCTTCACACAGGAACCGTCCCCATATTCTGTTCTGGTTGCTCCATTCAGTTTTCCAAGGTTTAACACTTTCTTATAGAGAGTGTTATCTGTGCTAAACCTATAACACACCAGAAAGACTGAAATACATCCTGAGAAGGGGTGGCTTCTGTCAACACCACAAGCTCTTAAAAGTACCACCAAGATGGGCAAGGGAGGGCTCCTGCTAGAGTACACACCCTATCTAGGAAGCATCCTGTGGAACCATGTCAGCCCCTGGCTAAAGGTCTGTGAGTGACACAGGACAGCCAGGTGCTGAAAGGCATAACAATGCAAACAAGGAGCCCCTCCAAAGGGCCCTGGAGCACATTTGGAATTGATGGTCCGGAAGGAAGAGCTCACCCCAAGAGGTAGAAATGAGGCCACTCACCCCGCCCTGAAAGCCAGTGCCAGCAGAATGTGACCCGTGAGGGGTGGGGATGTAGGCCGTGGTGAGACCACACTCAGACCCCAGGCGGAAACGGGCAGTCCATGGATATCCTGTGCTCTTGTGTGAAGAACAGATGGGAGGAGAACGAGACGAGCAGCAGGGGCCTTGCAGGAGGTTACAGTGGACAGGCAGGCGAAGAAGAGTGCAGCTGCTGCCAGGGGAGCAGGAAGGGGTGAGGACAAAGGGCCACGGGGGATCCCGCAGAGGTGGGGGCCGCTCCATGGTCATGACCGTCACCGTGGAATGTGCAAGGGCAAGAAATGAGGGAGGGTTTCTAAATCCCTGAACAGAGCAATGGGTGGGCGGGACCGGCATTTTCTAAGACAAGAACCTCTGGAAGACAAGTGGGTTTGGGGGATGAGGGGAGAGTATCGTGATGCTGGGTGCAGTTTTTTTTTTAACATTTTATTGTGATCCGGGTGAAAGTTTACAAAGCAAATTGGTTCTTCCTTCAACAATTCATACACATTTTGATTTGTGAAACTGACTACAATCCCCACAATGTGACAGCACTCCTCCCACTTCCTGCCTGTGAGTGCAGTGTCTTTAGCATTCACCTGCAGTGATTCAGGTGGACAGGTGTGTTAGCAGGAGAAAGGTGTGTTACTGAGCAGGTGTGTTGCAGTCTGAAGCTCCAGAGCAGACAAGGGCATCACTGGCATCCAGAGGGCAAAGTGAGCAAGGCGAAGGAGGGGACCACTACAGAGTGACCACACAGGTGAAAATGGCACAGCACAGAGCCTGGGAACACCAAGCCCAGACCACCACACAGAGGAGAGGGTGGGAGAGAGGGAAGTGGGGGCTGTGTGGCTTCGCCTCCCTGTCCAATGATGTCCTCCTGACATTTTTAATAGCCCTAAAGTACATCTTTGGTAAAGGCTCACGGACTCATTTGGAGACAGGCCACAACGGCTACATATGTATGGTGCCTCGAAGAGGTCAAGCACATGCTTCACTGGTGGGTGCAGATGACGGCATTAGATGTATCTAACTACCCTCCATTTTTAACCAACCTCACTTCCACACTCCATCCCCTGTTCTGATACTGTCGTGAGACAGCCTGGAAATGTAGGTGTGCCTGCTAGAGAACATTTCAGAAATACAAATGTCAACTAGACTGTATCACAAAGTATTCAGACATTCTGCCTTTAACCCTTAAACAGTGATATTCCCCTCATGTTTTCAACTGGCCTTCCGACTACAGAATCATTATCTAGTTTAACAAGATAATGGGAAAAAAAAAAAAAAACACTGGTCTATTGAGTCAATTCCGACTCAAGGCAACTCCCTGTATTACAGGTTAGAACTATCCCATGGGGTTTTCTTGGCTGTAATCTTGATGAAAACAGATTGCTAGGTCTTTCTTCCACAGCTCTGCTGGGTGGGTTCAAATTGCCCATCTTTCAGTTGTTGTTGTTGTTATATGCCGTCGAGTCGGCCCCGACTCATAGCGACCCCTCCTTGGGTTTCCGAGGCAGTATCACTACGGAAGTAGGATTGCCCAACCTTCCTTCCGAGGAGTGGCTGGTGGGTTTGAACCGCCAGCCTTCTGGTTAGCAGTCAAGTGCCTTAGCCACTATGCTACCAGAGCTCCCATCTTTCAGTTAGTAGCCTGTTACTGAGTCGATTCCCACTCACAGAGACCCTGTAGGACAGAGTGGAGCTGTCTCATTGGGTTTCCAAGGCTATAATCTTTAAGGAAGCAGACCAGACTGCCACATCTTTCTTTCAGGGAGTGGCTGGTGGGTTCGAACAGCCAATTTACTGGTGAGCAGCCAAGAGTATAACCACTGTTAACCATGTGCACCACCACCCCCAGGGACCTCTGAAGCAACTGCAACATAAACAATGTTAGGAAGATATACATGCAGAAAGTGATGAATGGTGCATGTCCTAAGTAAATAAATAAGCATATTCATAAACCTACAATATAAATCCCCAGTAGGTTTTAAAAACTCTTCTAACACCAGTTACTGGGCAAATCATTTTCTCTTCTTAGGTTTTCCCCAATATCCACTAGTACTTCCTTAGAGTTGATCAACCCTGGGAACAAGGAAGATGGAAAAACCCTCAACTTCAATTTTTTTTTTCCAAAATGTCTAGGAATAATGTTGCTAAAGCTGGTGGGGTGGGAAGAAATGGGGAGTAACTGCTGATGGGTACAGGGCTTCTTTGTGGGGTGATAAAAATGTTCTAAAACTGACTGTAGTCATAGTTGCACAAGTCTGTAATTACTGAAAATCATCAAATTATACACTTTATGAGGGTGAATTGTGTGATATGTCAATTGTCTCTTAATAAAGTTCTAAACAAAATGTAAAGGACTTGCTTGGGGCTTTAAACTTGATGAGGCCTTACCTGGGTGTAGATGCTAAATATGTGGCTCTGAACTTCATCCATTGAGTCGAGTCCATAGGCCACCGTCCCCAGATGGAGCCGCTTGAAAACCATCTCATTCTGGGTAAGAGTTCCTGAAACAGAAGACAAATGAGTAGCTGTGCCTACATCCCGGGAGCTTTCATTAGTCTCAATGATAGTGACAGCTGTTATTTTCTGAGGCATCACATGTAGCACACACTGGTTTAGGAACTGCTGCCCCTGATGGGGAAGACATCTGCAGTCACTTGTCTTCCAGAATCCCATTCTCCTTCTTTGAAAATGGCACCCTAAATTTCCATGGGTAAATGACCACCGCCGTCCCTAGGGTGGTCTAGAAGGAATGTCTGTCAGGTTACCTGAGTCATTCTATTGGCCAAGACACAGGCACTGACATACACTAGACCAATCAGATCTACCTTACAGGAATCTGAATCTTAAGCAGAAAAATGGATGGACAGAAGATGATTAGAGTCAACTTATTCCAAAGATGGAATGTTCCAATAACCGTGTGCTACAAAGACCATCCTAGGAGTCCTGGTGCTGACATATTCAAGGAATGTCCCAGTTCTTCTCCTTCCTGACACCCAGATTTTCTCTGATTCTGAGAGCCACCCAGGATCTACAGAATAGATATTCTTCTACCCATAGCCCCTAGACAGTAGCAATGAAGCTTAAGTCTAGATCACTCCACTTCTCAATCCTTCCTCTTAGTAACTCTGATAACTTCCTAACCTGGCAGACATTAAATTGTGGAACAACATCATAAGGTGTGCTTATGAGATTGGGACTTGAGGCCAGACTGCTTGGGTTCAAAGCTAGGTTCTGCTACTGTGTGACTGTGACAAGTCACTTACCTTCTCTGTGCCTCAATTCCTCATCTGCAAATAGGACAACCACACCTCTTAACTTGTGAGGTTAGGATGGAAAGTGAGTACATATATATATGAAAACCTAAGAACAGTGCTCTGCACATAACTAGTACTATATGGGTTTGCTGCTATCATCCTCATCATCACCATCATCAAATACTCAACCCGCTCCCTCCCACCTCAAATGGTGAAGAAAATAAAATAGCAGCAGCATCTATCTCTATCACTGGAAAGAGAAACCAAGAGTTTAGGTGGAAGCAACGTGTGCACCTTCTCTTACCTCTGAGCCCCGTCTGCTGTTGACATTGGCTGCTGTCAAGTGGATTCCCACTCATGGTGACCCCAGGTATCCAGAGCAAAACCATGCTCCACAGTTTTTTCAAGGCTCCCCTCTGGAGACAGACTGCCTTTTGGAAGCAGATCACCAGGCCTGTGTGGGTTCCAGTCACCAACCTTCTGGCCAGTAGTTGAGCACTCAACAATTGGAGCTACCCCAGAACAGCCTTGAACCTGTCTAAGCCCCAGGACGTGGCTCACCTGTCTTGTCTGTGAGTAGGTAAGATATCCGCCCCAGCTGCTCAGGAATCGTGCTGGAACGAACCACGGTCCCGGGTATTTTGGAATCCCTTCGAATTACCCAGCTGTACACGATCTTGCCCATATCCAGGTTCACACGCAAACTAATGAGAAATCCAGAGCAAACAGGTTACAGGGTATAAGTAAGGCTCCCAACGGCTCTTTTTGTAAACTGCAGGGATGCTAGGTAAATGTCACGTGTGCCCTAAAACCTGGAATCTCGGTCTGTAGAAGCACACTGCAGGCACAAATCCATAGGCTCAGCAAGAGTTAACACCAAACTGTTGTCACAGAGCTACCCAGTTACAGACCAAAGTCACTAAAGAGACCAAACAGGGAGGTACTCTAATCTTAATTTTGCTTTGTATTTTTCTTTTTCTAAATTACTGGTCCCCTAAGCCAAAAAATTGACAATAAACAATATAGTAACTTGGAAATATAACTTTACTGCAAAAATTGCAGATCTCCAAAATCATCCATAATCCTCTAAACTGAACAACTGCTTGTCAGTTCACTGCCTGGCCCTGGGCCCTATGAATATTCAATTCATGAATTTGTAGTAATATCATAGTAGAATTCTATGATCTTCATTTTCACTTAAACTTACACCACACTTGTTTTTCCTAGCAATACAGTAGACTTGCTTATTCTTTGAAGGCAACATCTCCAGCATACAAGCTTTCTGTGCTAGTCACACTGTTACACAAAAAGCCGTCATCTATGTCCTCAGAGAATGAGAAACTCTAGTTGGGAACACAGAAATGCTCAAGAGAACACAGCAAAACTTGAGAGAATCTAGCACTTGGGTCAGAAGTGAGAAGGACCAATGGTGGCAGGAAATACAATTAGGGCTCATTTAAGTAAGTAAGTACTGATCCTTTATGCTGGGGAAATATTAGGAACAAGTATCCACCCACATGGCACTCAATAAGTTGTGGAACCCTGAATATCTATGAGAGAAGTTCTTAAAAATGATGGGGCACAAATATATTTGACATGAAAAGTTATTCACATGGCTATGCTAAAAAAATAAATAAATAAATTTATGTAGAGCAAAATCCCCTTGTTCTACAAGAGAAAGCCATCTAGAGAAATGTATCTCAAACTATTAACAAGGATTATCACTTGATAGTGAGATTAGAGGGGATTTTAGTTTCTTCTTTTCCTAATGTGGATCTTTTCTTTTTTCCTATGACTATTACTATATAGGAGCTCTGGTAGCACAGAGCCTAAGGCACTTGAATGCTAACCAGAAGGCTGGCGGTTCAAACCCACTAGCCACTCCTCGGAAGGAAGATGGGGCAATCTACTTCCATAGTGATACTGCCTCAGAAACCCAAGCAGGGGTCACTATGAGTCAGGTTCGACTCGAAGGCACATAACAACAACAACAATTACTGTATAATTTTAAAAAATAAATTCCAATCACAGAGGAAAACCCATTACCATGTGCCACCATTCTTCCACTCAGTACCTACATAAGACTTGACTAATCAGTCATAATACTATTTCCCACTGAGTCCAAACTCAGACTCAGAATCCATCCCAACACAGTATTCCCAAGAGTTGCTACCAACCAATTAGAGCTAGCACATGAGATGAACTCTACAGGGCATTCCTAGCACAGACTGAACCAGGCAAGGAAATACCTACCAGGCAGAGAGTTAGTCAACAAAGGATGGGTCATGACACAATGTGTCCTTCCAATTCTACTACCACAGAGCATGGTGCACGCGCTTGACCCTAATCATCATTTGCCACTCTACAAAGATGCCAACCAAGCTCCTTCCAACAGCCATGAAACTACCATGTTTGAACGGGAAAAGAAAAGAAAACACTCAAGAGACCCAATACCCCTGAAAAGTCACAGCCCCCAAACACAAGCACATGCCTGCTTACCTGATGGGAATGATGTTGGAAAACAACAGGAGGAACCGGATGATCTGTAGGTACCAACGACCAGCAAAGTGCTGCAGGGCAACCATGACCAGAGAGACCACCACCAACGCACCGAAGAGGATCTTGGTGAGGCAATTCACCTCCAGGTCAAACAGGCCAATCTGTGGGGGGCCATGCACAAAGAGCTCAGGTATATTTGGTACAAGCCACAGCCCATTTGGAGAACTGGACCTTTACTCATGAATCCTTCAACCTCAGGGGAGACAGATCCCCACTACTGGAGGAGGGGTGGACCTGGGAGGGAGGGTCACTGGGCAGACTGCAGGTCCGACATCCTATGATGTCAGCCTGTCCCTTAGCTTGGGTGTGGATCCCAGGTCTGGCCCCTCCTTGCCCTGTAGCCTGGGTGGAGCAGCAGGTTCTCAAGATACTTTCTTGTCTAGAAAAGGAGGACTACAGAAGCACCTTTGCTCACAGGCCCCTCCTGAGGATTAAATGAGATGCAGGTAAAAGGTGCAGTACGACACCTGGCCCACGGGGACAGCTCAGGAGGGCTTCTTAAAAGCTTTGAACATTTTATGTATTCATGTATGCATCATATATTTATGAAAAAATACATATGTAGGAAAAGATATCTGTACAGATGAAATAACACTGCAAGGTGTGACTGTTTTAAATCTTGTTCCTCAGCTCACCAACACCAGTCTTAATTTAAGTTCAGCTGGTGAGACGGTTCTGACAAGAAAATGTATCCTGTTGACCTCTAACCTACCTTACTTCGGGGATTTGAGGTGTTCATGACGCTCCGGAGTTCTCTGCCAGTATAAAGAACGACACCCACAACGGTACCTAAAGTGAGAGAAACAAAACCCAGAGAAACATGAATACAGATAGTATGGTCTTAGTAACAGAATAGTCTCACCTGTGAAGAGACTATGTCTATGGCTAGCTGACCAACATGGTAGCCGCCAGGACCTCTGGTAACCTAATGCCTAAGGCATCTGACTGCTAACCAGAAGGCTGGCAGTTCAAACCCACCAGTTGCTCCTCGGAAAGAAGATGGGTGATCTACTTCCATAGTGATACTGCCTCGGAAATGAGGGGTTGCTATGAGTTGGGTCCAACTCAACGGCAGTGAGTTCAGTTTTTTTGTTTTTTTTTTTTTCCTAGCCACGTGTGTCTATTTAAATTCAATTAAAAGGAAATAAAACACCATTCTTCATTCTCACTGGCTGCATTTCATGTGTTCAGCAGCCACGTGGGGCTACTGGCTGTCACATGGGGGAAGAATGCTCAGGACACGTCCTTCATTACAAACAGCTATAGGGATGGCATTCATCCATGGAGCTCAAGCCAGGAGCTTGGGTTTCCCCAGTCCCATGGGGTTTCCAGTGGCCGTGCTCTTTCAGAGGCTAATTACCAGGCTTTTCTTTTGAGGCACCTCTGGGTGCATTCAAACCGCCAACCTTCTTGTTAGTAGTCAAGCACTTAATTTGGCATCATCGAGGTATTCCTCTACAGGGTCAGCACCCTCTAAAAGCAGAAAAATTGGCGTAGGGGTCTTCAGTCTTCCATGGCACTGGCCTTAGAGACTTCCAGAGGTCCTGAAAACGTTCCTGTACCCATAAACCATGATGGAAACTTAGGCAAACACCCTTGTTTTGAGAGTATATTCTTCCTGTCGAGTCTAACTCCTTTCCAACTCTGTGTCTACCCCTTCAGGGGATGTCTGTCTGGTTAACAAGTCGCCTTTCCTAAGAACTTCCCTCGACCCACCCAGGACACAATATTGAAAGACATCAATTTCTCTGAAAACAAATCATTTATAGAAGAAATACACATGATAACATACAACTACTGTTCTGTATTCATCTGGAACAAAAGAGAATGAGGAAATCCAAAAAGCAGAGAAGGAACTGGACTACACAACTGCCTAGCGAACCACTGCCTCTTCTACATGGAGACTAGAGGAACTAGATGGCACCCGCTACTACTACTGACTACTGTGATCAGGAACACAACTGACAAATCCTGATAAAAGGAAGAAAAACGTGAAACCGAACTCAGGGACTACAGCTGAGTTGCTCCTGAAACTGTGCTCCTCAAACTCTGAACTGAAACTGTCCCCTGAAGCCCCCTTTAAACCAAGTACAGGCACAGCACGTTTTATTACATTTCACTTTATTGCCCTTCACAGATACTGCATTTTTTATGAATTGAAGGTTTGTGGCATCCCTGCATTGAGCAAGTCCATTGTTGCCATTTTTCCAATAGCATGTGGTCATTTCATGCCTCTGTGTCACATTTTGGTCATTCTCACCATATCTCAAACTTTTTCACCAAACTGTTGAACATATAATAGACTACAATATAGTACAAACATAATTTTTATATGCACTGGTTTTTGGTTGCCTAGTGGTACTCTGAGAGGAATACACCACAAATGGGATGGCTTGAATAAACAGGAGTTTATTCTCTTACAATTTTGGAGGCTTTAAGTCCAAATTCAAAGTGCCAGCCTCTAGGGGCTGGGTGAAAGCTCCTCAACCTTGAGCTTCAGCTCCACCTCCTGCTCCCAGCCCACTGAAGCTGGAGGCTTCTCTTCACTCAGATAGCTGCTGCCTGCTGAGGCTGACAAGCCCAAGGTTGACAAGTAAAAGGCTCAGTCCCAACATTACCAAATAATATGGCAGGCCACTAATTCAAGTCCAGAAGAAATCCGAAGATCAGAAGGGCATGGCAGGCTGTTCAACAATGACTTGACTAAATGCAAAGTTCAAGCATGCCATAAGCTGGCGATCTTCCTCAAAGTTACTTGTATACGGAAAGCAGACCACATCCCTAAAGCAACCACTCAGCTGCTCCAATAGATTCTACCATGGAATTAATTACCAATCTCACAGTGGGGAGTAACTAGGTCCAGCTGCCCAGCCATTCAACCAGGCCTAGCCAAGTTGACACACATACTTGACTACCACAACTGTTGTTGTTTTTGTTGCGCACCGTCGAGTCGGACCTGACTCATAGAGACCCCTCCTTGGGTGTCCAAGGCAGTATCACTAAGGGAAGTATCACAACCTTCCTTCCAAGAAGTATCTGGTGGGTTTGAACTGCCAGCCTTCTGGTTAGCAGTCAAATGCCTTAGGCACTATGCCACCAGAGCTACCACAACTAGGAGACCCAAAAATTCGAGTGACTCACTTCATTGCAATATTCACTTTACTGCAGTGGTCTGGAACTGAACCTGCAATAATTTGAGGTCTGCCTGTAACAGTTTGACCCAGAGAGTAGAGATTGTAACCCTTGAGTATGCTGTCTCTTTTTTTAAAAAAAAAAGTGTGTGTGTGTGTATGTGTGTATCTGTATCTGTATAAGACCAAAGGTCAATTGCTATTTTAAAGCATAAATGAGAAGGCAGAGGACAGGGAGATTAGGTAAATGAAGTGGAACCACTTGAACAGAAATCATATGAATGTTGACAGAATGTCAAGAAAGCAGCACCATCACTGATGAGGTCAGGGGAACTGTGCAACAGGAGCGGGTTTTGCTGTGTACATTTACCAAAAATAAATTTTAAAAAATAAAGAAATACAGATAGCCAGTTAACATTAGGAAAGATGTTCAACTCAGCAAATAATCAAAGAAACGTAAATTAATCCATTTTTGTTCCTGTCAGATTGGGATGGATTGACACAGTGGACAGTGGGCTCACACATCACAGCCTATGACTTTGGAGGTGTAGGATCGGGCAGCATTTCGTTCTGCTGTACATGGGGTTGCTATGAGTTGGAACCAGCTTGATGGCACCTGACAACAACGGATTGGTATAAATTCAAGATTGATGAGACCCAATGTTGGCTGAGAGCTGGGAAAACGGATCTTGTCATGAACACTGCTGGCCCCATATACATCAGCACAATCTCGTGTGGTAGGAAAGCTGGCAAATCTATCAAAAGTCTACTGACGTGTCCCCTTTCCGGTGTGTGCCACGCCAACAGTCATAGCACAGTGGGGAACACTGACGAAGTAAGAAACCAGGAAAAGTGGGTGTCAAGGACAGTGGAAAGCACAGTGACAGACAGGAGCGAGGGAGGCTGGAGGGAGGGCCCAGTTTGCACTGGGTGGTCAGAGATGCCATCTCTGAGATGATGACGTTTAAGCTGGAACCTGAAACACGAGAAGGGGCCAGCGCTGCCAAGCTCTCAGGGAAGATCCCAGAATACAGTCTTGTCTCTGCTGGAAGAACACATTACCCTTCTCTCCTCTCCGTCCCCCTCAGTCTCAAGAGTCCACTGTCAGCGGGATCCACAGCCACTCAAAAACTGCTGAGAATCCAGAGGTTACAATACATTTGCTGTGAAAGAGCCCAACCCCCACCAAAGCACTGGGACCATGTGGGCACCAAGAGCTTTGCAGTGGGCACTGGAGTCTCCCAGGTTTACTGCACTCGGCCAGGCAAACAGGACTCTCTGTACAACGTGGTTCCTTTGGGGGAGGCTCTCGGCAGATGGCAGGCCGGGGAGCCTTGCCCGCCTCTCGGCAGATGGCAAGCTCCTGTGAATGCAGGCACTGATCCCTCCAGGCCCCCATCATCACAGCAGATGGCTGGACAGTGGAGCCAGAGCCTGGGCTGGGCCCAGGGCTGCCACCCGCTCATGCCTGCCCCAGCACAGCTTAGTCTCAGACCCAATGTCTCGGGAGATTCCTAATAACTGGGGCATCCTGAAGTGGAGTGTTCCCCAGAGGCCCAGCAAACCTGGATGCTTGCAACACTGCAGAGAACAGCCTTTCCACTCAATACCCATCCTCAAGACCAAAACCGTCTCAGCAAGACGCCCGACATCCCCATGGCAGCCTCACCCTAAATGTCAAGACCACCCAAAGAGAGAGCCCCACTGGCCACCCACAGATGTGCACTGGTTTGGTGTGCCCTGTGTCTAAAAGGCACTGAATTGCCAACTCGTAAATTCAGGAGTGTCATGTATGACACTGACATGTCTAGCTTCTCCTGGAAAATTGGCAGACCTGCTGGCACTGGGCCTGCATCCCCTCACAGTATAATCAGTCATTACTGAGCGACAGCCAGCCCTGTCCCTGGGCTCATGAACTGGGGCTCAGCCCCCACCCAGCTGCAGCCCAACCTGCTCCTTCGAGCCTCAGCCCCATTTGCAACTCCTGACTCCACAGGACACTCCACGACCTTGACTCCCACTTCCTATCTGCCAGAGCTTTGGCCCCTTCTTGCTCTCAACCCTCTCTCTACTCTCATCCCTGCAGTCTGCTGACCACAGAATCCTCTCGGCTCTCCAGGCAGCCCCTGCTGGTTTCTTTTGCTGCTCCAGAG